TATGGAGAAACAAAACAAACAGACAAACCAAACCAAAACAAACCTTAAAAATCTGGCTATAGAACTGAGTCTATTGGGGGGTGGCAGCGGGGGGAGATCGACATTAAGAAAAAACAAAGTGTGGAGGGGGTGGCCCAATGGACCGTGATGAAGACATGTGGGTCCCTTGGTTGTAGAAGTGGTGTGGTGAAGAGGTATGACCATAATCCTCTGAATCATATGTGGTGTCCTATACCAAGTCACCTCACTAACAAATAATATAATTAAAAATAAATAATAAACATCAGTCAGTAGACCCTCCAAAAAAAGTGTTTATATGATTCCAACAGATATCTTCATAGTTTTATAAATGTTATTATTTTTCTAAATGTTATTAAAAGTACAATATAATTTGTTTTCTGCTTGTTAAAAGGTTTTCCTTTTAACATATATTTAATGATTTTAATGATGCAGCAATTCTAATTATAGGTATATATCCAAAGAAAACAAAATCTGTCTCCTGAAGAAGTATCTGTACCACCCATGTTCATTGCATCATTATTTAGTGGCCAAGCCACGAAACAACATAGTGTTTATAGATGGGTGAATGAATAAATAAAACATAAAAGACTACTATTTAGTCACTAAAATGAAAGAAATTCTGTCATCTGCAACAATGGACCTAGAAGGTGTTGTGCTAAGTGAAATAAATCAGAGAGAAAAGTATGACTCCACTTGTGTAGAGTTAATACTGAACCCACCCACAGAAAAGGGGATTGGTGGTTGCATGGGAGGGAAGGAGTAGCCAGTAGGAGGGAAAGATGGAGATGATCAGAAGGTAAGAACTTCCAGAAAAAAAATAAACAAGATCTGAGGATATAATAAATAGCATGGTGACTATAGTCAGCAATACTCTATAGCACATGTTAGGAGAATAAATCTTAAAAGTTCTATCTCAAGAGAAAAATGTTAACTATGTTAAGTGATGGGTGTTAACTAAACTCATTGTGGTAATCTTTTCTGTAATATATCAAACATGTATCAAATCATGATGTTTTATTTATTTTTTTTTTAAAGATTTATTTATTTATTCATACAGAACTGGGGTACAGGCCAGAGGCTCAGGGGCGGTGAGAGGCTTCACCAGAGACAGAGTGGGGAGCAGAACAGGCAGATTGACGAAGTACACTGCTGAGGGAAGCAGTGGGCGGGTCAGGAGAGGTCTGGCTCGCCATGTGGTCTCCTCCGGCAGGCCGGAATCGAACTCATGCGGAAGTGGCTTCAGATTCTCAGTGCTGTGCTTTATCCCGCTGCGCCACCAGGGAGGGCCCAAATCATGATGTTTTATACCATAAACTAATTCAATGCTACATATTATCTCCCCCCCCCCAAAAAAAAGTTTTAAGCAACCAAACTAAAAGACTGAATTATTATCCTATTCTCTCTATATAAAATTGTCATATAATAACCATCCAAATTTTAATACACAGGAAAAGTAGCATTATAATAATGGTTTTGGCAACTAATACAAATATCGTGTTGGTTTTTTTCTGGACTTTGTGAATTTGGGGTATGTGTCAACTTAAAAATTTGCCAAGTGAACTCTAATTTTTTTTTATGAAAGGAAATTTAATTTGAAAGTTTAATGGCTCCTAAATAATACCAAGATCAAGTTGTAGACAATTTCACTTCTAACTTAGGCCACAATCAATCTGAAGCAAAAAACAAAGAACTTTGACTCTTGTGTTAAAAACAAATCATACCAGTTGCTGAACGGAAAACCTCTATTAAGTGGCTCCTGTTTTCAAAACAAAACATACATCTTCCCAATACTTGGATTTCACAGAGAAGGACTTCTAGCACCCGTGACAGCTCCAGGTTCTATTGTCACTGTTTTCACATGTTATAGCTGCCCACCAACACAAAATTGTCCCACCTCACCTCTAGAACCTGGCTAACTCCTACACATTCTTTGGGTTTTGGCTTATAAATACTTTCTCCACAAGAATCCCGGCAAAGTGTAAGATGTGTGCCAGAGTACTGACAGTTTACCCACGTTGTGACATGTCTGACTGTACATTCAGTTGCTTGGCTCTCCTGTAAGTGACCCCTGCAGGGTGGTGCTGTCCATCTTCTTCATGTATTCCAGTGGGTGCCTGGACAGACAGGCAAGTGCTTTTCTTGAATAATTTTCATTTTAATACTGCTGTTAACTAAGACTCATTGACCAATATTTTTTTGAAATGAGGTGTGAAGAGAAGGTAGTCATCTAGTTTAGGTCACTAAACATAGCAAGTGGCAGTCTATCTACACATATACTTAAATCAAGCACCCCTCACTAGTCATTATTTTATTTACAAGGAAAGTTCTCCAATTAGGTCTGTCAAATTAAGTAATTTGGTTCAATTTATTTCATATTTACTAGGTAAGTAGAAAGATGACAAGACAAGAAAACAAATAATAGCCAAAGGGGTTTCATTGCTAGTCTGAATATTTAATTTTTAAAATGAAAAGAAAAAAAGTAGATAATCGCCTTTAAATGGTTGACATTCTCCATTGTTAAGTCTACTCAAGACTGTACCAATTAAAACATCATTTTGGAAGCTGGTTGTCATATCTAGCCTAGAGCAGTCATGATACTTAAAGAAAAAAATCAATAACTGCAAAGATGTTTCAAACCATTAAATACCAAGATTCCCATTCTTAATTATCATAAGGAATCTATCTGGAAGAAGCAGGCCTATTATGCATAGTTCAGGTTTAGAAAATATCTGTGATAAAGAAAAATTGGCCATTTTGTCAGGCATGAATCTGCAGGTAAAGAGAAATATTATTTTTAACTGGAAGCATAATCTTTAATATTTTGTTTTACTTATCCAAACTCCTACAAAGGACTACTACAAAGCTACTACAAAGCTCCATACACAAATATAAAACAATGAAAGTGCAAAATAGAACTTAGCTATAACAAGGCAGGAGATAGCTGTGCAATGATCACATGTGCACACTAATTCCTGTACTGCTGACAGATTTGAAGAGGAATCACTACATTCCAAGTAGTACAGGTGCACATTATGTCAAGTGTGAATGAACAATAATAAGTTTATGGCAGTGGTACCAAGGGAAATATCCCAAGATTCTCTGAACGTTCAGAACAATTACACATGAAGTTGATTTATGGCTAACTAGAGGAATAATGTCAAATTGCTTATTAAAATTTATTCTGTTTCTCTAATCTTAAAAATAGATTAGTTTCACCAAATGTACATACATAATTTATGTAAACAGAAACAGAAGTAGATGGCAACCATATATTTTATTGAAATAAAAATACTATAGCTCAAACATAAATGTTTTCCTTCTGTTGATAAAAGCATCTAAATTATTTTAGTTATGATGACCACATGATGAGCTCTGTAAGCACACTGAAAAGTCACTCATTAATTAAAAGTGTAGATTAGACAAAATGTAATTCAAGTGTATGAAAAAGTATAAATGATTTTATACAATGTCTGCAGTCATAACGGTAAAATCTATTTAATTAAAATTAAAATTCTGTGCTATCATGTTAAAACAACTTATTAATCAGAAACTGCAAATGACCAAGAAGAAAATACAATTGATAACTCTTTAGTACTGAAAGTTATACATATAAAGCTAGGAGGAGGAAAGAGAGTAGCGATATTAAAATCAATTGTTTTATTTAGTCTCTACACAATTCAGGTGAGTTTCTACACCCCTAGTAATCATTATGCTAGTAAAATGTTTGGCATCAATTTACTGGGAAGAATATAAAATGGAAAATAGAAGTGGTAGTACTATCCAGAGTCGCCATATATAAGCTATGAACTTGGATTAGAAACACTTGGTGTCTACAGTACTAGGCTTCAGATTCCATGTAAATAAAGGAAAAATGATTTCTAGAACCCATGTAATTGAGCATAAAGAATGAACTATTTCAAATTCAAGTCATCTTAAATCTTCAGATTCTGCAATTTCCACTATACTACAAAATGTAATAGAAAGTATTAACAAAAAGCAAAGTAAATAATTGTAGCATCAGACAAAGCCAAAATATATACTGCTATATACTGATAAGCTGAAGGAGGTCAACTTTTCACTTTTCTATTAACTGACCACCACATAAAAAGTTGCCACCCCCTAAAAACTGTGAAATAAAAGGACCTTGCTCTACTCTGGCTTTATGTTCTATGATTACGGAAGCTTGAAATTGAATTAAGTCCAAGATATTCATGTTAGACACAGCGAGCCTGGCCAGAGTTGCCTTACTTCTACTAACCTTGACACCTAATTTGTTTTTGTCAGCTATAAACCACAGAACAGATTAGTGGTAGCTATAACCTCAAAACTAAATCTTGACTCGGTTCCAGATTAAGAAATTCACCTTCAATTCTAAGATTGAGATAGTTATTTTTATAGTCCCAGGTCTCAAAGAGTGGTTCCCAGAAAGGCTGGTGAAAATGCCTGTAATCTGTGTGGCCCAGTGGTCTAGCCTAGAGGCAGGCAGTGTTGACCACTCCCAAAACTGTTAGCATTGGATGTGGAGAATTCTTGAGGTATACACAGGCTAAGCAGTTAATCCCATCCTGAGAGACTGGGTTGGCCTAGAGCAGCTTCTCTCCTTCCCACCCAGGAAAGGTGGCTGAGACCTAACCCCACATACAATGGCTCTGCGTTCCATCAACTAGGAGGACTTGTGACAACACCCAAAAGCTGTATTGCTCAGGAGCACTTCAACAGAGAGGAGGGCAGGCAGAGGAGATACTGTGCAGAGCAAAACCAGTGGATATGTTTGGCCATGGAAAATGAACATAAGAAGTAAAGCAGATCATAAAATACTTTTTAAGTAAAATATTGCTCTAGATTGTATCTAGATCATGAATAGCATGCATGGAGCCAGAGAAAGAGATGACTAGAGGTCACAAAGTTGTACCTAGAAATCTAATTTGGTCATGCAACATTTCAATTCAGAGATCTCACAAGCTGCACAGGCTTCTTACCTGACCAGTGTCCAGTGGAGATGCCAGATCTGTCTGTGCAGGTCTCACTTACAGGTCTAAAAACAGTTTCCCATCCACCAGTAGCATAGCGCCAATTCTGAGATTCCAAGATGAGTGTTCGTTGGGTGCCATATGCAATCATGAAGCAGTAGACTACATGATGGAGCTGACAACCATAGCCACAGCCTTTGTTTATATTACACACTAACTTCTTGGCTTTGCTGCAGTCCTTGGGATTCTGTCAGGAAGGAAAAGAAACAAAAGTGTAGATAAGAGAGAGTTCAATTTCTCTTTATAAGTGACAAATATCAAACATCATATAAGTCAGGACTTTCCAACGATACACTCTTAAGCAAAGAAGTCCGTCACAAGGATTGGATTTCAATTAACTCACTGAGAAGTTTATGTATATTCATGGAGATTGCTGCAAAAAAGTTCATTTGGAACTATAACTAAACAAATGTGAAGTTAAGCAGTTATATTTTTTTAAAAAGCAACTTTTCACTTTTTTAATTCTGAATTCAAAATTGTATATACAAGGATCTTTGTGAAATAAGCAAAATAGGTCATTTATTCCAGCTGTTCTTCAACATTCTGGGTTTATCTTTCCTGGTAAAATGCAAATCTTGCAGAAAGAACAATAATTTATCAATGAGTCTCATCTATGTTGATGTCACTAAGAAAATTCTACCTTTCAACAATTACCAAATACTAGTCACAGAACTTTTTTTAAAGTCAATGTGATGATACTTACTAGTAAATTTTCATAAAAAATACAGAACATGTTCTATACAGCCCGTCTTGAGCAAATGTGCTAATTTTTATGAGGAAATATATATTTTCCTATTAGTATACTTTGCTATGAATAGCAAGTTGTTAAAGAGCTAAATGATTCTATTTCTATTCTATTTCTTCCATTCTAATTTCAATGTCTCTCTACTTTCTATAGGCTGTTGCTAAATATCCCTAGACATCTATCTCAGTTATACAAGTTTTGAGGACTCCTCAGCCTGAGAATTTCCAAGCTGTTCTATCTGCAAGGGAAGAGAAAGGATGGGTACTTTTAGAAACAGAGTCTTTTCTTCCAAGAGCAAGAAGCAAAGCAACTTTGTTTTCAATTTATACAAGCTTTGAGTAAAGCAGTCACCAAGTCCCAAATCTATAAGTATTTTCTTGGGATATCATATTTCTGTCAAGTAGAGCTCTAGAAACAAAATCTAGGAATGTGAGGCTATAAAGTGATTCTGAAAGAAAAGATGAAAAGGGAAAATGCAATGGAGTTATTTTCAAAAGAGCTATCTTTCAAATTCAAATGGTCTAATGCTTGTTAGATCAAAGCAGAACCTATACCATCAAGAGCCTTCTGAAAGGTAACAGAGCCTTTATGAAACCGAGAGCCCAGATATAACTCAGCAAGATTTGATCAGTATTGTTTTTCCAATCAAGTACTAGAGCTGTGATTCTTTTTTCTTTAGACTAAACTCATGGCAGACTCAAAGGCAGTAAGCATTCATGATACAGTTTATAGTCACCAAAGACTTGAGAGGAAGAGGTGAGACTATATGTGGTATTGGGAGACCATTATCACATTTTTTCCCCTGTACAACATTATACAAGGAGCCTAGGAATAAAAAACAAACTAATCCAATGGTCATAAAGAGCAAAGAACATTGACATTTGTGTGATTTTTCACATCTGTGAGAAAAATAGCATATCTCTAAAATTCTTATGAATGAAAATGTCCTTCTTAGATTTTTAAATATTTTTTTCTTTTTCCTGGCTTCCCTAAGATTTTATCATACATCCATTTTCATATTTTTAAAAGGGAAAACAACTGAAGTTGTTTAATTTTAGTCTTTAATTTTGATACTGTAGTAACTTTTTTAAAATTTAAAGATAACTCATATCTCCATTAATAAAAGCACATCAACAGTGTGTTTTAAGAGACAAGTTTAACTAGAACCCAGTGCTTTATGAGAACTGGGTTCTTATAAAAGAGAAAAGGGGGAAATAATATGAAATGAGTTTAATTCAAGAGTTTTAGTGCACTTCAAAACAAGTTGACAAGAGAATACATTAATTACTTCTACTATGTCATAAGTAACATGGAGAAAAATAATTCATGATGTTTGGTTCTGGAATGAGAAAGATCTGCTTATATAAGACCACAAGGCAGAGAGTTAGACATAAGGCAGCAACTGTAAGACAGAGAGTTAGCCAAATAAAGGACTGAGATGGCAACAGTAAATAAGACACAGCAATAGCCTAATTGTTTTTACCAAATAACATTTTAAAGTGTGGCAAATTTAAGTAATCTTTTTATAAGAGACTCTAAAAAAGGGAGTAATATAGTGAGAAACTGAAAAAATATTTATTCTTAACACAATATTAGGCTCACCAGAATAAATAGGAAAAAAGGAGCAAGTATTCATAAAGTAATCAAAACAAGATGTATAGAGATTTATTCTGATGGAAGAAACCTTAGTTGGAAATCCCTTTACATAGCTTAGTCTTTATTATCCTTCACTATTATAGAATAGCAACAAATAAAAGGAGATTTATGGAAGTGTATAAAAGAGAACCAGACATAAATAATGTACATGTTTATATACTTATATATAATATATACATACACAAATATACATCCAATAATGCACACATACCATATACATACAAATATATATGTGATCTTTTAATTTCTTACTCAATAGTTTGTCAATTACCATTGGTCCTGCTTTTATATTTTCCTATTGATTTCTGCAAAAAGTTTAAAGCTATGTCTCACCCACAAGCAAGCCCATATAGAAGGGCCTCATTAACACTATACTTTAATCATGCTAACACTTTAAAAAGGGGACTATTTCTGATGATGAAATCTGTTTTTCTATTGCATCTAGCGTACTTAAAGCTGTTCTTCTATATATCCCTACCAGTTATATAGAGTACAGGCACATTATTTTGTAATTTATATCAATCTCTCCCATCCCTCCCCTTCTATGTTAACACCCTCTCCTTCACTCTCCCCCCAATCCCCACTCATGTCCCCACACAAACACTTAGCAGAAGGAGGCCTACTAGGAAGCACTTTTTATTTGGAAGTGGAAGATGGAAAAATACAAACTGAAAATACACACCCTTACCCCGCCAGGCCATAAGTGCCTTGGGAGAAAGTCTAATTCACTTCTCCCTCCTCTACCTTGAGTATTACTCACTAGTCAAGAATAGGTGAATTTCTGTTTATCCCATAAATAGTTACTAAGCACTTACTACATACAAAGATACTTGGGCAATGACAATACAATAGAATAAAAAACAGTATACACAAATAACTGTAACAGTAGGCAATTTAAAAGTTCTAAGACTGCTTTAAACAAAGAATTAAGGAACAAAAGAAAAAATCACTTTCAGCTGAACTGGAAAGGATTATGAATAAAACTACAATTAAGTTAAACCTTGAAAGATATAATTTATTGTGCTTATGAAATGCTAAGTGTGCCTTTTCATTTTCAATGAAGAGCAAAGTTAAATTATAAACTCCATAAATTGTTTATAATGTGAGATTTTAGTGTATGGGATCTTCTTAAAGCCAGACTCACCAAAAACTCCTTGCAATAATGATGAAATTACTTGTTTTACAAATATGAGATAAATCTTTCAAAATTACCACAGACAACATAATTTAATTAAAGAGCCCCAGACAAAGAGGTTAAGATACAATATTGTTCTAATTCAGGCTGTTATGAATTCAATTCTGTGATTGTTTTTCAATGTGTTAATTAAAAATTGAGACAAAAATTACCTCCCTCCACAACCTTTCCCTACTCACCCATCTTCTCCTTTCTGAGATACTTTGAAACTAAATGATATGGTATAAGCTCAAAGCTAATTCAAACATACAATCTCATCCTTGTAATCTCAGGGACATTATTTCACACTTGATAAAAACAATACCTTTTGCATTTAGTGCTTAAAGTGGTCCAACCATGAGCCCTTCTAAATCAATAATGTTATGTAACATTCTTATTATTCTGCAGCAAAGCTGTCACTCTATTATGTTTAGATTTTAAAAAAGGATTTAAGATAAAATAAGGCCCTTTTGCATTCTGTTTCCTTCCCTTCAAGCATTTCTTCTGCTAGTTTCCAAGAATAACCCCATCTTAACAGGAACTTAAAGCTGTATTTGCTCTATTCTATAAAGTCAACTTGAATTCAGAAGTAGGCTTGAATTAAGATGACTCCAAGATGTTCTAAGGGCAGCAACATCTCTTAAAGACAAATGATTACTAATTTAGTAAAGGCACCATCATAATGCTGAAATATTTCAGTCTCTTACACTTTGGTTAAAATACCAAAAGTTACTACTGGACACATTTCAAATTAGGAAGCCAGCTTAATCTCTATTTTGCTAAAAAAGAGTAAGTTTGACTCAACTAATAAACTAGAGCCATTATTATGTTATTTAGGCACTGCTAGGGTTAGAGATTCTCACTGCCTTTATTTAGTAAATGTGAATTAATGATGTAATATACAACAGTGCTGTTTCTTTAATTACATCACAGATAAAAGTCTTTCGCCATGACTATTTAGATTTTCCATACACACAATTAACATTTTCCCAATCAATAAACATTTTCCCCATCAGTGTAATTCTTTAATTTATTTACTATAGACAGAACATTGCAGAAAAGGGTTAAAGCAACAACCAGCAAAATATCCCAGGTATCTGTTGCATAGAATCAGTGCTTAACTATGAGCTCAGCTGAATTGCATGCACAGAAACAATTGATGTCAAGTCCATCATCACAAAAATTAATTGGTGGCAAGGCAGAATTTAGAATTCAGGCCTCTTTGATCTACTGTATAGCTCTTCTGCATCTCCCCATGATATCTTCAACACAAGCTGCAGCAAGAAAACGTACCTAATCATTTTTTCTTCCTACTTCACTGGTATACAGTTGACAAAAAAAAAAATGTATAGATGTAAGGGTGCAGTATGACATTTTGATAAATATACATATGTAAAATGACTTACCACAATCAAGCTAACACATACATCACCTCATAGTTAAAGCTTACTGTGGGGGAGGGTAAAACAAGATTAACTCAGCAAATTTCAGGTATACAATATGGTGGTATTACCTATAATCACTATGCCATACATTAGAACTCCAGAAGTTACTGATCCTACATACCTAAACCTTTGTAACCTTTGACCAACATCTCCCCATTTCACATTAC